CAAAAGGTTGCAGCCACTGATGCCCGCCACAGCAGTCTACCAGCTTTCGGCCAAGGGGGAGAGAAGGCTGACCAAAGGAGTTGGGGAACATCGGGTGGGGTTACCCACTGCCACTGGAAACGTTGGAGGAGTTTGGCCCAGAGGGAAGGCGCCAGCTCACAATGGATGCAGAGATGGGCATTGCTTTCCTCTTCTGCAATACACATAATGCACCTGTTGGGGATTTAGAGTCCTCTCCTTTGTAGCAGATCCATTGTGAAAGCTCTCTCGGAAGAGACGATCCAGTTGAAGATCTGGATGTTGGGTGGAGATTCAACCCAATCTGTTCAGCGACTATCTCCATTTGCAAGCTGAAAAGGATTTTGTCTCATTGTTTCACATGAAAGATGGGACCACTAACTAACCTTGCTTCTTGGGTCAGAACATGTTGGATTCAAGTAAATTCTTTTTGGTTCATGAATACATCGATTTTAGGAACAAACTCATAATTCCAGGTGTAAATTGAAATTTCACTGGCCAGTTTACCATCCCAACCAAGTAAAGTCATGTCAAAGTCATGTTTAACAAAGAGTTTGGCAAACGAGTCGACACAATGCCAAGCTTGGTTATGATGGAGACTTGGCTGACTCCCTTGAGTCATGTGACACTACAAACTCCACTAGGGTGGGGCAAATAGGCAGGTTTATTGGATTCTCCATAGATGCTAAAGTGCATTGTTGTAGGACATGATAAGGTTTTCTCCACTCCCTAGGGTTTTTAAGAGCTGAGAACTCATTTAACATTAGAATACAATTTATGTGTGCTCTTATGCATAATCAAACAACACCCTTTAGATTTATTATTTCTTGTAAGTCAGACATCACCAGGAAACCTCAAGAAGTAAACAAAAGCAGCAGTTCCTTGAGTCACTGTAAGACACATAACAGTTGGTTTTGGAGACAAGAGCAATTTTGGGAAACTTGGTACACAATGATGCAAGGAAACAAAAACAAGGGAAATTACAATCAACAGCACACTCTTTCCTCGACATATTTGCATCTCTCCCAATCAGGTGCAATTTAATTGTTAGCTTTATAAAATAAGCAGGACTTTGCGTTACCTTTCCAAAAACTTTCCCCAAAGTACAGCCCACAGAAACAGCCCTTTCTGTATCTGTACATCAAGGGGGCCGAGAATGCCTTTGGTCCCTCTCCTCAAAATGGAAACCCCAGCCTCTTCTACAAAAACCATCATCAACCTCTATCATCCACTTTCAAATTTTACCTCGTAAGAACTCCAAACTCTCTTGCTTGCCCTTTTTCCACCTCCACTACATAGGCCCTCACATTCTTTCTTCTTTTCCTTTAAATTCCACTTGATAGCAACTCTGGGGAAATCGCCCTATCACCTCCTCCACTTGGTCTGTGGTCCTTCTTTTGAGTGCTTTTGCAATCTAGTGTCACCTCTACAAATATTATTATCCCTTCTAATGCTTGGGGGGCAGGAACTCCCAAACAAACATATAAAAGGGACCTCTGATACACTTCTGCCTGCCCCTTTAACCCCTCCATCCTTACATGCGCTTTAAAGTTACAAGTAATCATGCGAAAAGACCCCAAAGATTGATTATCATAGAACAACAAAACACTTCAAATGATCCAAATAAAACGCAATGCAAGAAGGAATGACCATTTAAATAGAATTTTCTGTCTACTGAATCCCATATTTTTTTGAAGATAAGTGGCTACAAGATACATGGATGAGCATCTATCAATATTATATCACACCTAAATTTTTACTCTTTAGGAATTATAAATTGCAACCCATAACTAGGTCTGCTCATTCTCAATAGGATATAGAAGCCCATTAGCATCCACAGTACATGGATTCTAAGGAAAGAAGTAATTAGAAATGTCATTCAGTGTACGATTAAAGAATCACAGCCATCATTTTCTAAGACTACAGAAAACCAAAAAGTACTTTCCTTGAAACACCCAGGCATGTTCAAATAAATTTCTCCAATATCTCCCTCAATTCCAAAACGAAATATCGTCTCTCATAGTTCATCCTCTCTCAATTCTCCAACTCCTCCCCCAAATACATCGCTCTATTTGATATCACTCCACTCATGTTCAAATATTGATGAAGACAAAAGTAAATATAGGAGAACTTTTGCCAAATAACACAGAAACATTCAACATATCAGCTGCGAGAAAATTTCGTATTGGTATCAAACATAAAAGCAGTATCATGAAACCCCATCATTTATCAAGCAGAATTTATACTGTAGTAGCATTTCACACGAAATTCTTAAGAAATGAATACAAACCTATAGAACAACACACTCAAAATCAAATAGAAGTCGAAGAGAGGTCAAAACCTCAAATTAAATCAACATAAATGAACATCCAGAATTCCAGATTAAAGCCTGAAAACAATTTATTGCCAGAGTCCAAGCACGCAAAAGTAAGACCCTGAAAGATAAAAATTTCTTCTCCTGATAACTGAAAAACATGAAACATTCAATGGCTTCAACAAGAAAAGAGCATAAAACCCTACAAGTAAATCCATGACATACTAAAGTCCACATGTTATTCAAATATTATAACATAATCAACACAAAAGGTTCAAACTTCCAACCACCAATAAATAAAAACCAATTTAAGATTGATTTAAACAACTGAATAATAAGCTCACCATAGCATGTGCAGAACGACCTCAAAATGAAGCTTTCTCAATCCGCAGATACACCATATACTAAACCCTAACATAAAATTGAAGCAAAACGAGAGAGATGTACGTGTAAAATTTTGCAGTAAAGCGGGAAAGAGAGAGCGTTAGCTAACAGAGAAGATGGAAAGAATGTCGATGGAGAAATTTAAAGGGAAAAGTTTATATAAGGTTGCAACCTTAAATTGTAGAATTGCAGACGCACCACAAAAATCTATCTGAAATTTGAATGTTGTAAAACCCTCGATCATCTCGACGTCGATACGCATGAATATGAAAAAAAGAAAGTTTTTGTGTCCCGAAAATAGTGCAGGTTGCTACACATTTTTGTAGAATGTTATCTATTTGATTTTAACTTTTTTTTTTTTTAATTTAAAATTTATAATTAAGCATAAAAAAAAAATTTAAAATAATACTAAATATTTTTTACAACAAAATTATATATTATAATAAAATTTTAAGATACACCTTAATTGGATTGTTTAAGGTTACAACCTTATAAAAACCGCAACCAAACTTAAATCCTAAATTAAATCAATTGCAAACGAAATGTACCCAAAGAGACCGTATACTTTTAGTATGAGGAAGGCCATAGTCACTATTGTCCATAATATTTTAAAGGAAAATTATAAAAAGGAAAACAAGTTCTTTTAAGTTTGTTTAGTACCTAACTTTTTTTCAGTACCTAACTTTCTTTCGGTTATCTATCCCATGTTATCTATCCAGTACCTATGTATCCCATGTTATCTATCCAGTACCTAACTTTTTTTTCCAGTATCCAACCCCATGTTATCTATCCAATACCCAATCCCATGTTATCTATCCAGTATTTTTTTTTTTTAAGACTTTTTTCTCCTAAACAAGTTTTCTATTCAAATACCCCAAGGGAAAAAGTTCATTTGAGTTTATTATTATTATTATTATTATTATTATTATTATTATTATTATTATTAT